CGGGCCTCAGCCGTAGAATAAAGTTGTTCTGTTCGGGGGAACGTGGATTATTTTTGTCTCGGGGGGGTAAAAAACCCCATGGGGGTTGGGTGTTGGAGAGGGAGGGAGCAGCGGGATTCCCGGGAGCAGCGGGATTCCCGGGATAAGGCTGCCCCAGAGCACCCCGCTTCGAGGAGTCTCTTTTTTTATTCCATGCTGTGGCAACGAGGTGCTGCCTACAAAAAGGGGGAGGCTGGTGCTGCCGGGCACCGCCGGGGAAGGGAAAAAGCCACTGGAAAACCAGGACGGGGAGAACTGGGATGGGGGGGGGATGGCGCCACGCCCCACGGCTCCCTCCGGCCTCCGCTCCCGTCCCAGCGGCGACGGCGAGGAGGGCGAGGCGCGAGGCCGAAGGCTACACCTTGGTGGTCGCACCCTGCGCGGCTCCCAGGGCTGTGAGCTGCTGGATCTTCTGGCTCATCATTTCCACGACGGCTGCAGGGAAAGAAGTGGGGGGAGAGGTGAAGGGGTGTCTGTCCCCTCCCCAGCCTCTCTCTGTCCCCGCAGCCGACGACGGCATCGTGAGCGACTGCGAGGACGAGGTCCTGCCCCACGAGATCATCCAGACCGTCATCCCCCACAGCCCCCTGGCCCCCAAAACCAAAAAACGAGGGGGACAAGCCAGCTCCGGCGCCGCGACATCGACAGGGGGGGGCTACGGCGAGGAAGAGGAGGGGGAAGGCGTAGGGGGACGGCACCGGGGCGGCCGCCAGCGCCCCTTTATCTGCAACGAGTGCGGGAAGAGCTTCAGCCACTGGTCGAAGCTGCTGCGGCATCAGCGGACTCACACCGGGGAGCGGCCCAGCACCTGCGGGGAGTGCGGCAAGAGCTTCAGCCAAAACTCCCACCTGGTTCAGCACCGTCGGACGCACACCGGGGAGAAGCCGTATCGCTGCGGGGACTGCGGCAAGAGCTTCAGCTGGAGCTCCAACCTCATCCAACACCAACGCATCCACACCGGGGAGAAACCCTACACCTGCGGGCAGTGCGGGAAGAGCTTCACCCAGAGCAAGAACCTCATCAAGCACCAACGCACCCACTCGGGCGCCCGGCCCCACCGCTGCGGGCAGTGCGGTCGCGGTTTCGCCCAGAGCACCAACCTGCTGAAACATCAGCGGGTTCACGCTGCCCGCGGTCAACCCTCGCCCTGCCCGGAGTGCGGGCAGAGCTGCCGCGACGGGGCCGAGCTGGAACAGCACCGGGCGCAAGCTCACGGCCACGAGCCCTACATCTGCGTGGAGTGCGGGGAGAGCTTCGCCAAGAGCGCCACGCTCAACCGCCACAAGCGCGTCCACAAGCCCCTCTTCGTCCGCTGAGGCCGGGGGGACGCGCACGGACCGCGCTGCGGGCGCGGGGACACGGTGACACCGCGCCAGGGGACACACGGACCGTGCTGCGGGCAGGGGGATGAGGTGACACCACGCCAAGGGACACACGGACCACACTGCGGGCAGGGGGACAAGGTGACACCACACCAGGGGACACAGGGACTGCGCCAGGGGCACAGGGACAGGGTGACACCGCGCCAGGGGACACATGGACTGCGCTGCGGGCAGGGGGATGAGGTGACACCATGCCAAGGGACACAGGGACTGCGCTGTGGGCACGGGGACAGGGTGACACCGTGCCGGGGGACACACGGACCGTGCTGCAGGCAGGGGGGATGAGGTGACACCACGCCGGGGGACACAGGGACTGTGCTGGGGGCGCGGGGACAGGGTGACACCGCGCCAGGGGACACACGGACCGCGCTGCAGGTGGGGGGACGGGGTGACACCACGCCGGGGGACACACGGACTGCAGTGCGGGCAGGGGGACAGGGTGACACCCAGCCACACCGGACCCCACTGCGCTGCGTGTGGGCCGACGCGGGC